ACGTTCGATGCATTCAGAAATTAAGAAAAGCCTTGTTACTGGCATAATGTCTATTCATTATGTTGAAATCTTAAAGTGTACTAACATTTGTTCATTATAACACCTAACCCTGTTATTTCTCATTTCAATAAATAGCATGGCACTGTTCCCATTGATTCTGTTGCTCTTGGTATGTTCTGGAGCTACATCTGACTTAAGACGATGTTTTGACCATCACAAGAATAGAGGTAAGAATATTGATGAGTAAGAGTATTGATGAGGTAAGAGTATTGATGAGTAAGAGTATTGATGAGTAAGAGTATTGATGAGGTAAGAGTATGTGTGATCTCACTCTCTCATCCTATGAAGTGAGCCACCAGGTCACTCTTCCTCTTCTGAGCTTTCGTGGGACGTGGACACATATATTTCTTTTCTCACTGATTCTTTTTTTTTAATTAATAAATAACTTTGGGACTACCCAACCTAAAGACCAAAACCAGGCATACTATCTGTCTTATCATATGGGTCTTACCCCATGGTAGCTGGCCTATCCCAGCAGTATTCAACAAAGCAGAGTTGAGACACAGTTAATAAACTGCGGAGTGACTAAAATGCTATACAGCAAAAACAGAAACAAAGTACAAATACGAAATGAAACTAGGCAAATGTGATAACAAGAATGGAAATAATACGGACATGTGCACCTGACGTTTCGGCACTTACTGGCCTTTTACGAAGGATATAATTTAAAAGTGAGGACAGTCCCGCTATAAAGAGGGGACGTGTAACTAGGTCGTAAGCTAAATAAACACCCCCCATTTCTGAAGCGCTGGGTGCTAAAAGCGTCAGAAAAGAGTCAAAAAGCGACAAAAAGCGACAAAAAGCGACACAAAAGCGACAAAAAAGCGACAAAAATGCGCCAAAAAGCGCTGAAAAATGTCAAAACTAAAATGTTACCAGCCCCATAGAAATAGTGCTTAACTATATTGTATATCGACCGACCAACAGATATCACAAGCCAAGCACAAGGATCTTTTGTACAAGGATCATATGGCCTCTTACTGGATCAAGTCGCTAGACAAGGTCGCTTAACTGAGCTTAAGACGTTAAGTGTCGTGTGGAGCCAAACTTCTTGTCAAATTAGCTTTTGAATTACATCCAAAACATGAACTAACTAAATACTATACCCCCCATTTCTGAAGCACTGGGTGCTAAAAGCGTCAGAAAAGGGTCAAAAAGCGCCAAAAAGCGACAAAAAGCGACAAAAAGCTACAAAAAAGCGACAAAAACGCGCCAAAAAGCGCTGAAAAATGTCAAAACTAAAATTTCACCAGCCCCATAGAAATAGTGCTTTTGTAATGGTGTCTCGACTAAATTTAAAAACCTTCTATTCTAGTTTTCAAGCGATTTGTGCAAACATACCTTCTCCTTCTCCAACTTCAACAGGAGCCTAGCTTTCAAGCGATTTGTGCAAACATACCTTCTCCTTCTCCAACTTCAACAGGAGACTAGCTTTCAAACGTCCTGACCTCGACACGGCCTCCCTTTTCAGCACCGTTGGAGTTATTGCTGTTGTGCCCTTTCTAACCTTCTTCTTTGGTACTCCAGTCTATATTGGAATGTCCAATTAGTTCGTTTTCTCATAACAATATAGCATATGTAGGGGTTTTTTATCACTTCTGAGAGGTTTTAGAGATCGATTCTCTAAAATTTCTCAATTTTCCGATTTTTCCGATTCCGATTTTGGCCTCATCAACCCTCATATCGGACATCGGGTTGGACCCCCCAACTTTACAACTAATTTTATTGTAAAATCTAAATATATTAATAAAACAAATATTTAATAAAACAAATATTCTTCTCTGTAGTTCCCTTCCCAGCTTTTTCTCGAAGAGGACGATAACTCCAGAATGTCTTCCTGTGTTTGTACTCGTACACTCACAGCCGCAGCACTTTAGTCCAGAAATGTCAATTCCGAGTTCCTTGCAGTGTTCTTCGACGACGGGTAAATGTTTGGTTCCATACTAAGTGGAGTATCTTGGGGTATCGCTGTCCAGGATTACACTGAAAAAAATCCCAAAGTATGAAATAGAATATTTCTAATAACAAGAATGTAATGATAACTTTTTGTTAAGTTGCGCACAGCAGTATCTGAAATAAAATGAATACACTCTGATGTAGAGATTGTAGAGATTGTAGAGATTGTAGAGATTGTAGAAATTGCAGTACCATAGGAAGTGCAGGAGTTAGATTGTAACTTGATTTTGTTGGTTGGAATGTGCTCAGAAACCACAACAGTTTAGTCTTCATTTCATCCAGCAAGGCACTGTTCTGGGGGATATCATGTACACGCTGGAAGCCTACAGTTTCCAGGTCATATAAGACCACGTTCATTTGCAGGTTATCAAAATCCAGGGTAATCTGGCTGACCGGTCCAAGCTCGCATGTGTGATCTTAGTCTCTTATGCTATGAAGTGAGTCATCAGGTAACTCTTTCTCTTCTGCCGCCTCTCGTTCTCAACCTTTGTGTTTAGCTTATTCGGGATGTTGGCTCTTTATTCCCTGAGATAACAAGACGTTACACTAACTGATTATTAAACTAACTGAATACTCACTGAAGATTACTCGTGAGATGGAGTTTCATGAATAATATTCTTCAAGGATCTCACTGGGGATTGTCGGAAGTTGTGTAGTTACTGGAACATATTGTCCTTTGTCGAGTTTCCGTCCCAAATCATTAGGCTGCAGGTAAATCCCCCCCGGCTAACTTTTTTGTTAAAGTACGATTGTAGAATATTTTAATAAAAATTAATAAAAAAAAAAACTTTTCCCGAATGCTTAACAATTTGTCTTGGCATATACATATTCCGAAGATGCAGCTCGCTGTGTCACATCCTGTAAATGCGTGTAGGACTAATATTGAGGACAATATTTTTCTCTATGATGATCTAGATAGGTCCTAGAAGAGCGTGTAAGTCGTACACATAAGCTTTCGTGGGACGTAGACACATACATTTCTCATCTGCAGATAACGACGTTTTTTGTCATGTTATAAATATACCAGCAGTAACATGGAATGGGTGTACCTTTGGTCTTATAATTTGAATTTCTAGCGAGTAACTTATCAGTTTTGATTTTGTTCTTTTGCTCTTTGTCAGCCGGAAAACAGCTGAAATTCATCATTAAATCAAAGATTTTATAATAAATAAATAATATACTTATTGTGCGGAGTTTGCATGGCACTACAAATATCTTTAAACTAACGCACCCGCCTTACATGTGTCTTACTCCGCAAAACCATCCAAATTCTATAACGCTAAAACCACCTAAACTTACACTCCGCTCCAACGGTTTTTCTACACTCAAACGTTTTCACTTCCACGTCTGTTGGCCTGGACGTGCCACCATGTCTGAGTTCGATTTTGAATCTGTCGTTGTTGGCTGGGTCACAGACTTTACTAATAACGTCAGTCAGTTCTGATGTGAGGTTGGCAGCCCGCAGCACTTCCTCTCAACGGCTTGGTTGTTGTTAACAAATGTCGTTTTTAGAGGCATTCTTATATATGAGATAATAGCGGCTCTCGTCAGACCATGTAGCAAGGGGGGTAGGGTTACCCGAGCATACTCCTTCTTTGCTGAGGATAATTGTGTTATTTTATATTTAAATCATGTACTGAGACTGAAGCAACTATAACTTAACTCGAACACATTAGTCCAAGTATAATATGTTGAATAAATGATTGATTAAGCTCGTTAACATATGATATAAATTATGCAAAAAAGGTATCTTTGATAATAATTATTATTACCAACTCCCGTCTTAAACCACCATCCACAAAAATCCTCTTTATAGAATTTCAGCAGCCTTTTTTAGTGTAATCTTAATAAAAACTGCTGCCATTGGTCGATTTCTTCTATCAGTAGAATAAGCTGTTGCAATTGGACACAAATTGCTAACTAATGCACCCGACTAACGCGTGTCTTACTCCGCAAAACCATCCAAAATCTATACACTAATCCTACCTAATCTTACACTCAGCTCTATTGGCTATTCTACACTCAAACTAGAACATTCTAAAATATCGATCATTACGCTTAAACCCTGCTGTGAACATCATACCATATTACACTAGAGTAGTAGGGTGGTGTGACTGATCTAAAGGTGCATTGAATCAACAGTACCTACTTTCACAGTTACCAGAGGGGTTGACGCGGACGTTCGGTTTCTTTTTTGCGCTTCTATCCCAAGATGTGTATCGCGTTAATATTGTTGACGATTTTAATAGAGTTGAACCAGAATCTGTTGGGGTCGTTTCCACCGCTAAGTGCCCATAGAAACCCAAGGCATAGAGGTCCACACAAGACGTTATCCGTCTGCTGTTGGCACGGCATAACACTGATATACTTCACATTCCTTGCTGTTAACTGCTGTGCAGCAACACAAGGAAATATCTCCCAATCGGTAAAATATTTGGTACCAAGGGTAGTGGCGTAACGTTGCCTCACCAATAACATATCGTTATCATCCTGGTTTGTTCTAGTCTGAGGACTGACCAATTTATCTTATCATTTTACAGAAATGAATGTACGAAACAAATAAAGATAACTTAATTTCATTATAATATTTTAATCTTTACACCTGTGCACTACATTGACTCTCCGACATCTCTTCAAGGAAAACCTGCAAATCTGGTGTCTCGGTACTCGTTACAGAATGCAGTTCGCTTTGTGTCGTTTTAGAGAAGATTTGTGAGCAAAGCTTCAACTCTTCTCACTCCTTGCAAGTGCCTGGCCGCATAACAAAAAGACTATTGTTTTTCATTCTTAAACTCCCCACACATTTTGGTTTCTTTGAGGTATCCTAAAAAAACTCGAGAGTTCTTTCACAGCCCAGTGAGTAGGAGCAATGAATTATGGAAAGTTTAAAAAAGTATAATTTGAACTAAAAGTAAAATTAACCTAATCTCTTGGTACCCTTGTTACATAGTTTGTTTTTATCTGTCCTGCACCTTGGGTTGCTGCTAGCTTCTTAACACTGACTTCTTTAGTCCTATTCTTCTAGTGGACGGAATGGTTCGGGGCTGTTGCTTCTGACTTCTTAACACTGACTTCTTTAGTCCTATTCTTCTAGTGGACGGAATGGTTCGGGGCTGTTGCTTCTGACTTCTTAACACTGACTTCTTTAGTCCTATTCTTCTAGTGGACGGAATGGTTCGGGGCTGTTGCTTCTGACTTCTTAACACTGACTTCTTTAGTCCTATTCTTCTAGTGGACGGAATGGTTCGGGGCTGTTGCTTCTGACTTCTTAACACTGACTTCTTTAGTCCTATTCTTCTAGTGGACGGAATGGTTCGGGGCTGTTGCTTCTGACTTCTTAACACTGACTTCTTTAGTCCTATTCTTCTAGTGGACGGAATGGTTCGGGGCTGTTGCTTCTGACTTCTTAACACTGACTTCTTTAGTCCTATTCTTCTAGTGGACGGAATGGTTCGGGGCTGTTGCTTCTGACTTCTTAACACTGACTTCTTTAGTCCTATTCTTCTAGTGGACGGAATGGTTCGGGGCTGTTGCTTCTGACTTCTTAACACTGACTTCTTTAGTCCTATTCTTCTAGTGGACGGAATGGTTCGGGGCTGTTGCTTCTGACTTCTTAACACTGACTTCTTTAGTCCTATTCTTCTAGTGGACGGAATGGTTCGGGGCTGTTGCTTCTGACTTCTTAACACTGACTTCTTTAGTCCTATTCTTCTAGTGGACGGAATGGTTCGGGGCTGTTGCTTCTGACTTCTTAACACTGACTTCTTTAGTCCTATTCTTCTAGTGGACGGAATGGTTCGGGGCTGTTGCTTCTGACTTCTTAACACTGACTTCTTTAGTCCTATTCTTCTAGTGGACGGAATGGTTCGGGGCTGTTGCTTCTGACTTCTTAACACTGACTTCTTTAGTCCTATTCTTCTAGTGGACGGAATGGTTCGGGGCTGTTGCTTCTGACTTCTTAACACTGACTTCTTTAGTCCTATTCTTCTAGTGGACGGAATGGTTCGGGGCTGTTGCTTCTGACTTCTTAACACTGACTTCTTTAGTCCTATTCTTCTAGTGGACGGAATGGTTCGGGGCTGTTGCTTCTGACTTCTTAACACTGACTTCTTTAGTCCTATTCTTCTAGTGGACGGAATGGTTCGGGGCTGTTGCTTCTGACTTCTTAACACTGACTTCTTTAGTCCTATTGTTCTAGTGGACGGAATGGTTCGGGGCTGTTGCTTCTGACTTCTTAACACTGACTTCTTTAGTCCTATTCTTCTAGTGGACGGAATGGTTCGGGGCTGTTGCTTCTGACTTCTTAACACTGACTTCTTTAGTCCTATTCTTCTAGTGGACGGAATGGTTCGGGGCTGTTGCTTCTGACTTCTTAACACTGACTTCTTTAGTCCTATTCTTCTAGTGGACGGAATGGTTCGGGGCTGTTGCTTCTGACTTCTTAACACTGACTTCTTTAGTCCTATTCTTCTAGTGGACGGAATGGTTCGGGGCTGTTGCTTCTGACTTCTTAACACTGACTTCTTTAGTCCTATTCTTCTAGTGGACGGAATGGTTCGGGGCTGTTGCTTCTGACTTCTTAACACTGACTTCTTTAGTCCTATTCTTCTAGTGGACGGAATGGTTCGGGGCTGTTGCTTCTGACTTCTTAACACTGACTTCTTTAGTCCTATTCTTCTAGTGGACGGAATGGTTCGGGGCTGTTGCTTCTGACTTCTTAACACTGACTTCTTTAGCCCTATTGTTCTAGTGGACGGAATGGTTCGGGGCTGTTGCTTCTGACTTCTTAACACTGACTTCTTTAGTCCTATTCTTCTAGTGGACGGAATGGTTCGGGGCTGTTGCTTCTGACTTCTTAACACTGACTTCTTTAGTCCTATTGTTCTAGTGGACGGAATGGTTCGGGGCTGTTGCTTCTGACTTCTTAACACTGACTTCTTTAGTCCTATTCTTCTAGTGGACGGAATGGTTCGGGGCTGTTGCTTCTGACTTTTTAACACTGACTTCTTTAGTCCTATTCTTCTAGTGGACGGAATGGTTCGGGGCTATAAACGGCTCTCCAACTACAGAGGAAAACTTAATTTTTAGATTAATATTTTGTTTTAGTCTGAGGAATGGCCTCTTCGTTGTTTTTTTTACTCCCGCTACTCTTTTCTTGGACTCCCTCTTTTCTTTGAGGTGGTTCTCTTAGTGGTACAGCATCTCGTTTTTTAGGTTTGGATGGTAGTAGCCTACTACTAGTAGGGGATTCTTAAGTTTAATTTATTCTTTTTCTTGCTCTTCTTAATTTTTATACAGCTACTTGCAGATGGACCCGCTTGCAGTATACCGTAACCTTGCAGATAGTATGAGAGATGACGGATCGATGGACACTCTCAGCCTACAATAAATATAAACTTTAAATTATCCTGTTATTGAAACAGTAGACTGATATGAATAAATAATTTGATACATGTATAGTATCAGTTTATATGTATATAAACTGGAATTATCTTAAAGAATAAGAGTTATTATTATTACCAACTCCCGTCTTGTACCACCACTCACAAGAATCTTCCTTGTATAGTTAGAGCTATAGAAAACGGAGTAGATCTGGGGTTTAGTGTAACTGTATACACGAACGGTAGGGCGTACCGATAATATAGAAAGGAAACAAGTATATTAAAAGGAGAAACTAATAAAATATAAATGTATTACAAAGTGAACAACAAACGAGAAATACTTCTTAGTCCGCTCCAAACTGCTCTCCGGGCTGGTAGGTGTGATTGGGCTGTACTCTGGTGGGTTCACTTGACCGTATACGGGGGAGTTGACGTATTCCATCTGGCTGCTCTCTGCCCTTAACTGCTCAATAAGATCAGCCATATAATTAATTTCCACAGTAAGGTCTCTAACCTTACACTCCGATCGGCGGAGCCTCTTACGAGTTGCTTCGTATTCGTTCATCTCATCCTTATAGCTCTGAGTTACAGAAGACAGCGCCTGGAGTAGATCTTTCGTTGACATGGATAAAATCGCTAAAAGGAAGGTAGTGTTAGAAACGTAACAAAGTTAAAAAAATATACTAAAAATATGATTAACGCAAACCTAGTCTGAAAGTCGAGGAGGGAAATATAAATACACAGAGTGAAACACAGAGTAAGAATCAAATGATAATCTAATAATACAAAAATAGCCAAACAAGAAAAGTAACGATCTAGAAGGACACCTCCATGTTCCTGAGGTGAACCAGTCCATCAAGGTCCCTTTGCAGTTGTGTGTACGGCTGGTTCGGGCGAATCTCGCTAATCCCGCGAATCGCTGCGTTGAACCTTACTGCAATTCCTCTTGTCTATCTTCGCCTTCTGATACTCCCTTTGGTTCCGAAATGTAGATCTTCTTCTTCTACACACAGTCGAGATGGCGGACATCAGTCTGTCCCGCACCCTCCTCATAGGTTCCAGTATTAGAATTAGAATTAGAATTAGAATCAAATTTACACAGCAATACAATAAGAATAAAAATAATTTAAGAAGCTTCAATCTGCTGTGCAGGACATTCAAGTCAGTCGAAAACTGTTAGCAGAACACCCTTCTAGGGACATAAGGATATAGTATGTAAAACATAATGAGTAATAAATCAATGAGTGATAAAATAAGATATGATTTAACAGTGAACTGTGGGCATGAAGGTAACAATTAAGATTACATAGATGCCCACTTTGGGATTACGTTAGTAATGTTATTTACAGTTATATACAGAGAAGTATAGAACAATAATAGATTGGCAATGATAACAAATGGGAACGAATAAAGGAGATGTTTAAAGTTCTATACTTCTGGAAATACCTAGGTCATATATAACGCAGGGGGCCTTTCCACCCGACAAAAACTCCAGCACCATAAAATTTGTTTCAGTTGTCACATAGCTAGAGTGTAGAAATAGTCGAAACTATTGTTTATTTCATAGGATGAGACTCCTTGAATTACATCTGACATAAATTTAGATTTCATACATTGTGAGAATTTTACACTACATTCTATAGTCCTTATGTTCTCTGGAATTGTATTCCAACATTTTGCACCTAAATATGTAAAGGTTTTGTGTGTTCTGGATTTGTGAATATAGAGGTTGCACCTCTCAGCATCACGTGATCCTCCGGATACATAAGAAAATTTATCTGTGAATGATGATGGTGCAGCCTCATTAAGAATTTTATACATATACGTTGACAGATGGAGTTGTCTTCTTAAGTGTAAGGGTAACCACTTCATATTTCGATATACATTTATTCACCCGTCTATATTCACGCCAAACTGTTTGGAGCGGACTAAGAAGTATTTCTCGTTTGTTGTTCACTTTGTATTACATTTATATTTAATTAGTTTCTCCTTTTAATATACTTGTTTCCTTTCTATCTTTTCGGTACGCCCTACCGTTCGTGTTACGTGACCAGAGCTTGACTAGTATACACTAAACCCCAGAGAACTCCGTTTTCTATAAGTAGAATTGAGCTGCCCTAAATTGTGATAGACCCCGTGATAGATCCTATCGAGATCTATATTCACCCGTCTATATTCACGTCAAACTGTTTGGAGATAACAGATATAGAAAACGGATTTCTCTGGGGTTTAGTGTATACTAGTCAAGCTCTGGTCACGTAACACGAACGGTAGGGCGTACCGAAAAGATAGAAAGGAAACAATTATATAGTAAATCCTTATCATTAAATTCAACTAGCCTAATTCCAAATACTAATATAAATCCTAAATTAAATGAAATAAGAACACGTACCTGACTAATACAAGATGCGCTGATTTACACATTTAAATTTGGAGAAATCTGCTGATTCTCCCTTTCAACAGAGCTTTGTGTAATTTAGCTCTGGCTTGTAGAATATTCGGATACGTCGCAAGGGTGGCACTTTCTCCCAGTCTAGGATTTTTAGGCAATCGGCCAGACCCCTTGCCTCCACACAACAAGGTCATCATCAGCTGAAATTCATCATTAAATGAAATGTCAAAGATTTTATAGAAATAAATAATATGCTTATTTTTCTGAATTTCCAAGAACTGCGAATTTCTTGTTGAGTTCTTAGAACTAAAAACTGTACTACTCTTTTAGTGGACAAAATGGTCCGGGGCAAATCTAACGAACTTCTAACGAACTTCTGACTACTATATACGGAGGAAAACTTCATTTTTAGATTAATATTAGATTTGCTATAGCAAATTGAAAATGTAATGAGTAAAATAATACAGGCATTTCTTGCACATTTTAATGGTACCTTCCTATTCTTCTTTATATGTACTAATAATATATCGGATTATCGGTATCCTCCTGTTTTGTTTTAGTCTGAGGACTGACCAATTTATCGTATTATTTATCTGAATGAAGACTGCATTACATGTGAGTGTTCATTGAAGCAATCAAGCAAAACGTTGCAGGGTGGTAAAATGTGAACACTTACAGTTAAACCTCGTCGGGTCCTCCATCTTTGTAGAGTATAAGTAAAAGCCCTATCAATTTGGTTTGGACACATAGTAAGACAGCACAAATATAGGTGAATTCTTCGTAGATTTACATCACTAGCCTATAAAAATAAAATCAGGTTAGACCAATGAAAGAAATTTAAAAGTTAACCACTTGAAAATTTAAAACAGATTTTAATCTGAAACTTTACAAACGAGCTCAATGTGCTAGGTAGAATGGACAACAGAGCATAACAGTTACCGAAAAGGCGTGTATTCTTAACACTCGACAAAATTTTCGATCCCGATAACTCCCTGCTATCCATAATACCCAGAATCAGGTGCAGCTGCATCTCTCTTTTGATAAGTTTTTCATTAATCGCATGTAACCTAATTTTGAAATCATCTGTATCACTTGGCTCCATAACAGGTCTTTATGACACTCGAAACACAGACTGGTCTTAACGTGTTCACACGAAAACAGGGGGGGTGCTCAAGTGTCTCCTCAGATCCACAGATGATGATGTTAGGTTTGTGCCGTCTCCCTATATGTCAAGGGGGTTGTCATGTGTCAAATCAATTTGGTTTGGACACATAGTAAGACAGCACAAATATAGGTGAATTCTTCGTAGATTTACATCACTAGCCTATAAAAATAAGTAAAAGCCCGGTACATGTTAGGATTTACAGTGATGTAACATGTATTGCACATCTTGTGCAAAAAAGTATCTTTAAAATGCGAATTATTATTACCAATTCATGTCTTGAACCATCACCCACAAGAATCCTCCTTGTGTATGGGGCGCTCGGCGTATCTTTTTGCTCCCATGTTTAATTCTGGCTTGTAGAATATCCTGACGCGAGGGTGGCACCTTCTCCTCCCAGTCTAGGATTTTTAGGCAATCGGCCACACCCTCCTTCCGCACAACAAGGTCATTAAAAAAAAACATAAATGACAAAAAACATAAATAATAAAGAGCATCAGAGATAAGAGAAATCCTAGAAAGTGCTCTCCATGTTCCTCAAGGTGTCCAGAGACTGTTGCAGTGTTGGTGGGGTCAGAGCACGTATGCATTCCGCGAGTTGCTGCATCGAACCTTACTGCAACTGCTCTCCTGTTGTTTATCTTAACCAACTGGTACTGCCTGGCATTATGAAAAGAGGCTGGCGACATGAAGTATAAAAGGCAGTAAGAGAATATGTGTCTCTGCTCTCATTCATGAGAGCAGAGACACATATTCTCTGCTCTGGGAATCGACTTCTCGTTCAAAATACTGGGATCTAAACTTACAGAATACAGAGTAATTAGTGTCAAAAAGTTGAAATAAATGGGACTTTTTTCGTTGATTCTGCCAAAATTTCCGGACGTCTGGATTTTCAGAAACCAACCCCACTCCCCCTGTCCGGATTTGTCCGAAATTCCAAAACCACCCCCCCCCCCCCTCCCCTCTCTATTTGCCGGACGTCCTAAGTAGATGGCCCCTTAATTTGTTCGTTATTTTCGCCGCGGTGTAAATGTTTAAAACGGCGAAAAGAATTGCAACAATTCCAGATAAATTTGACGACTTTGTGTACTTTATCAAACTTTTGAAAGTGAACAGTGTATAGTCATAGAAACCTCAAAGTAATCTCCCTCTGAGGTTAAGATTGAGTTTGAAAATGCGGCCCCCGTCACCTTTGCAATTTTGTCACCAAGGTGCAGTTAGGTCTAGCCAGTTAAACCTAACCAGTTAGGCCTAACGCAGGGTTAGGCCTAAATCAGACCTAAATTAGCCGTTAGGCCTAACTGCATCTTGGTGACAGTTACTGTTAGGCCTAACGCCTAATTTAGGCCTAATTTAGGCCTACCTCTGCGTTAGGTCTAACTGGAGTCTTATATAATATTTAAAGAGTTTAAATTATTTAATTTTTAATTTTCGATAGTTCAAAATTTACCAATATTTACCATTGTGCGATTTTGATGTTTAATTTTGATTTTAAATTATAGCTATAATATGTGCATTGGTTATATTGAATTGAAACTTGACTTGAGTGGTAATGGTATATGTTCAATGTTCATTATCATATTAATATTGAATATGTGTTTTACCACTTTTACCACTTTTAACTATTTTGATGATTATAAATAGTTTTATATTTAACTTCTGAAAGTTACAGTTCATGATAACATGGTTTGATTTGTCCATCAGTAATCAGTGCCTTCTTATGGCTTCCGCAATAGAACATAAATTTACCTTCGAATTGATGAGCAGAATGACTATAGTTGACTAGCGTGTTAAATCGCCTTCAAGATTGTTCTAAAAGGGCCCCGGCAGTTGAAAACAGTTAAAACCGATGTATTATGGCGTATATACTATACCTGCACAGAATCTAGGTAAAATATAGGTAAAAATAGCACAGAAAGAACATCTAATCTGATACGTATGATATAATTCTTCAACTTGCTCGATTATTATCTGCACTACTGTATAGTACTAAGAATTGACGTGTATCAACCAAAATTGAACGGTGAATCGTTTAAGCATCCTGCATTAAGATCACTTTCGAACCACCTCCGTAAATGCTACTCACGCTATTGTTCTTTTTACGGGGAAATAAGACAGTAGTGTTATTGTAGGTTTATATTATAAACTTTATAACCTACCAAGACGGGATGATGATTAATCACTCTACACTCGACTGTCACGTGAATTTTTAACGCGTTCTCTAACTTCTCTAGCCGTTTAGGTGGCCCTGCATGACTATTCGAAACCCTAACACTCTAAACTGACCCTAACCCAATCCCCAACTGAAGCATTGCTAAAACCCTAACCGTAACGTTACAAAGCTTGCTAGTCTATTTCTCGTTACCTTGTACTAATGTACTTGTAGCGCGATGTACTACTGGGCCGTGCATCCAATAATGCTGGGGGGGGGGGGGGGGGGCAACCATATTAAAGTATATTAAAGTATATCGCCGGGTCAAAATCGGAAAAAATCCTACATTTTAATATACTTTAATATACCTACAATTAGAAGATCTATATTCTTCGTTAAGATTTATATGATGAACTATATTTTTCACTCAGATTCGCAAGATAAGCCTGTTTTAGGACTAGTACATGAATTTCCATCCAGATTGGTCAAAAATTGGCTGAGCTATGAGCTTTAAAAAATATGCCCATATTTGGGCATACGCTTTTGCCCAAATTCGATAAAAATTTCAATATTTTTTAATGAGACTAACTCTATGTGAAAGATATAACTCAGTGTTTGTTGAATATAGTGGATACTAAGTAAAAAGACCTCCATGAACAAAATTGGGAAAATTGCACATAATATCTCGGTTCGGAATACTAGCCAAAATGACTTCATTAAAATTGAAATAACTCCATCAGTTTTCAATATTTTTTCAAGAACTTTTTGGAATCGATTAAGAATTGCATTTCAAGCTTATTTTGGGCAACAATTTTTGATGTAGGCCTCCAAGGAGATAGGGATATATTAAAGTATATCCCGGGTCAAAATCGGGAAAAATCCTACATTTTAATATACTTTAATATGGTTGCCCCCCCCCCCCCCCCCCCCCCCCCCCCCATGCTTCTCGCAACCATCGGCAAGATGCACCGCTTGGCCACGCCGAGCTGCGAAGAATTGACATCGTCTATTAAACATGGACAAAAGTATCACCTGTTAAATATTTTACGAGTATCTATATCATATTACATCACCGGTTAATCAATAATCATAACAAGCATACCTTTTTCAATGTTCAATTTGTTCTCGACCTATCATCTCATAGTCATAAAATAAATACAAAATAATACAAATATAAATATAATCATGTTTACTGTAAGCCATATAAAAAAGTGCAGTCAAATTTTTGTTCATTTTACAACAATTTTGCAACACCTCAGTCCCCAAAACCTGGAATTTCGCCAAATGCCATTAGCCGCATACCCCTCCATACACTTGACTGTAAACCTGCTACTCCCCATCCCATAACAAGGTCCCAGTCGTAGGCTGCAGCTCTCAGATCCACAATTCTGTTGTCCGTTCCATCCAGGAAAACTATCCTGTCCGTCTATTCCCCGACCACCCTTTATCCCTTTAACTCCTGAAAGTCCAGGAAATCCTGGAGTACCTTCTCTACCCATCTCTCCTTTTGCTCCAACATCCCCCGAGTCTCCAGTTGGTCCATTCTCCCCGTCAGCACCGTCCTCACCAGGTTCACCTTCTGCTCCTTCTAACGAACAGATCCATCCAACCGATGAGCAGAAGTCGTTGGTTCCTTGAGCACCTTTTCTTCCAGTCGCTCCTTGGTTTCCTTGTTCTCCTTCAGCTCCTTGTTCTCCTTGTGGTCCGACTGAAAAATATAGCATTTATACGATGCCGGTTCTTCGAGTTCTATCGCGAGATGAACATTGTGTCATTGATTTATTTCCGTAGCTGCTGAAACCTAGGTTGTCATCGCTTGAGGATGGTATGAGAATACCTGACAATTACAAACATTACTTTGAGTAAAATGCTGCTCAACAAAACATTATGGGTGACTAGAGCCCCGGCTTAAAACGGCTAATTACATGGTACAATGTCCAGGAACAAGTCCGTTAGTTTCAGCAGTATCCCAAAGTTTTAGGTCCGTGACCGGACTGTGTCCCAACCTGACATCGGCAGATTACAGAATAGCAATCCAAAGTGCGTAGATATGGGCTATTTTAATATGACCTTATATTAAGCGTGAGGCGTTTTGTGTTATAAACTCCTCCAGGATACTGCTAGCAGTAATTCAACTGTGCACGTATCTTAAATCTTTCCTGCCAATATGTTATCTCACCTTTTTTCTCTGTTATAGATATCTCTTCCATTAAGTTATTTTTATCTCTCTGTAGCTTGACCGTGTTTCCGTATTTGCAGCTCGAAACTGAAGGGACATTGTCTACTGCCCCCTCATTATAGACTGTTAAAGAGAAGCTGCTGCACCAGTAACCCTCACAGCTACAGTCAGTATTTGAGCATGTCCAGATGAGATGAGGGCGACCATCAAAGTAGGTAACAACTTGGTGAACACAGCTGACCTGGTCAAGTGTTACTTTGAACCAGGTACTACCGTCAGCACCAGGATATGTTTTCGAAATGGTCAACAAGTTCAGGTCTATAGCGAGGTGGGCACCGTTCTCCTCCTCGTTATCATGCTTAGTGCGCGAATGTTCAACACTGACAGGAAATACCTCACCAACCAGTATTGGTCTCATTCCTGAAATTACAAGCATTATTATTTTTACTGACAATTTTTTCAGATACTGTCATAAAAACTATCGTAAAACACTGCAACACATATTAACTACGTTCAACTTTACACTTATCTTTCCTGCCAATATGTTGTCTCACCTTTTTTCTCTGTTATAGATATCTCGTACACAAAGAAAGAACCAATATTATCATTAGTCTTCAGTAGCTTGACCGTGTCTCCGTATATGCATCCCGAAACTGGAGGGATATTGTCTACTGCCCCCTCATTATAGACTGCCAGAGTGTAGTAATTACACACTTCACCCTCACAGGTGCAGTCAGTATTTGAGCATGACCAGGTCTGATAAAGACTACTGTCGTATAAGTACCACACAATCTGTTGAACACAAGTGACCTGGCCCAGTGTTAGTTTTAACCAGATACCACCGTCAGAGTCAGCTTCTGTCCAAGAGCGAGTCCCCATGTTCTGATCTACAGCTTTCGTAGCATCGTAATACTCCTCGTTATCTTCGTTAGTGCGGGAGTGTTCAGCACTGACAGGAAATACCTCACCAACCAGTAATTCTCTCATTCCTGAAATTACAAGCATTATTATTTTTACTGACAACTATTTCAGATACTGCCATGAAAACTATCGTAAAACACTGCAACACATATTAACTACGTTTAACTTTACACTTATCTTTCCTGCCAATATGTTATCTCACCTTTTTTCTCTGTTATAAGTATCTCGTACACATAAAAATCCAAATAACTAGCATGTATCTTGACCGTGTCTCCGTATATGCAGCCCGAAACTGGAGGGATAGTGTCTTCTGACCCCAAATTATAGACTGTTAGAGAGAAGCTGGCGCACCATTCAGTTTTACCCTCACAGGTGCAGTCAGTATTTGAGCATGAATAGGTCAGAATAGGATTACCAGTAGTGAAGTACCACACAATCTGTTGAACACAAGTGACCTGGCCCAGTGTTAGTTTTAACCAGACACCACCGTCAGAGTCAGCTTCTGTCCAAGAGCGAGTCCCCAGTTTCTGGTCTACAGCGTTCGCAGCACCGTAATACTCCTCGTTATCTTCCCTAGTGCGGGAGTGTTCAGATCTGACCGGAAATACCTGACCAACCAGTAATTCTCTCATTCCTGAAATAACACGCATTTCTTATCCAAATATTAAATCAGGATGGATTCTCGATATTTCACGGTCGAGACGGAGAACAGTAACGTGCATGTTTTAAACTTTATCTTTAACAAAGTGAAAACTTTTCAATTCGATTTTTTCACCATAATAAGGAATAATTTAATTAATAATTTGAGATTCCGTTGTACATGTACCTTAACTTTAAGAGCGACAAATTAATAATTAGTCTACCATAAATTTAGTCGCATCAAAAAATATTCATCCTAACCGAAGATACAGCCGATTAAAATGTAGCTCGCACTGAACACAACGTAATTCGACAAAACCGATCAAAATGCCGGTCGCAAATCTTTGCACGTGCACGTGAGCTTTTGAACACCGTTACCATGGTTATTATGCAACTTCTTATTTTTCATCTAATTCGCACGTGGGCGGTCGTACATACAAAGGGAATTCTCTGAATTATAAGTAAGACTAGAATTAGAAAACCCAGGGAGGAAGCTAATAGTATTTTTTGTTAGTACTTTAGTAAGTTCAAAAAATATCCTACACAACGGTTGTGTATCTTCTTGGCTGTATCTTCGGTTGTGTAACACAACCGAAGATACAGCCAATTAAAATGTTGCTCGTACTAAACACAGCGTAACATCAACAAAACCGATCAAAATGACGTTGAAAAATTATTTCACGTGCACGTGCATGTAATAACCCTCGTTACTATGGTTACTTTGCAACCTTTTTCTTTTTTACCTAATTTGCACGTGGTTTATTATAATATCAACCCAAAATGCTGTAGACCAAAATTAGTTAAGAATGTTAACAAAATATATACCCTTATTCACAGCTGTTCTCATGGACAAATGCCCGTTGTTTTTATACAATCCGCCACTCCAGTTAAACTTGATCGCTGTGGAATGCCTAGTCCAGAAGCTATGACAGCTTGAGAAACCTTCCTTGTAGTCACTCGCGAAGTTGAAGATAAGGACAGTCACACCATTGCACTCCACTAGCAAGCTGGTCTCTGTTCGGGTGATTCGCCACACTTTTATATGGTCACTTGAAACTCCATTCAGGGGCTGGGCCGCATCCCACGAGTCAGGCATGCATTGTTGGATCACGAGGATCCATCTGCTTGAGTTAAGATCCGTGCATTTGAAGTTGATGTACTGAGTTTCGTCTTCGGGGAAAATAAAATAAACGGTTATGGGGGCTTCAACCTGATTCATGGTGGTCTTTAGTTCCAGGGTTTGACTTAACTCTAGGCTGTAGCTCTGTTGTAATTGTGGACTAATCCACCCTGTGAAATATAGTGGGTAAATATCAATCATTCTATTTCAACATAAATACAAAAAAATGTACTTCAAAATTTCAAATTTGTATCGTGTACTACCATTATAAAATATTAATCGACGTGATCTCTTTCTTGAGTTTACGAAAGTCCAGCTAACAAAATGATATCTGTGTACAATCCTTTTATTTAGAACTATTTTATTAAGAACTATGAAGCCCGTGGTAACAGGGATGAAGCTAGTATTTTTATATTTTTTGCAGTCAGTTTTTATCAAATCAAAAATATCCATCACAACCAAAGATACAACCGATTGAGATTTAAGATGTAGCTCGCACTGAACACAACGTAATAACAACAAAAACTATCAAAACGATACAATGCACGTGCACGTGCGTGTAATAACCCTCGTTACTATGGTTACTATGCAACTTCTTATTTTTTTATCTAATTTGCACGTGGGCGGTCGTACATTCTCTGAATTATAATATAGTAATGACATCACCGTTCCTACTGCTGAACTACTTCGTTGGGAGGAAAGACCGTTGTGAAACTACGAAGCACAAAACTTTACCAAAGTCCTATTGAGCTATTGCACTAAAAGGGTTATAGAGCTCCTCTTGCTCTCTTGGACATTGCACATTTCATTTTTAATCGATCTATCCCAACATGTTTTGTTAAAACGGCTGAAGGATCATATCGACATAAATTAGGTCGTATCGAGAGAAATGGTAAAGTCAAAAAAGGGTGAAAAAGAAACCGAACAGCATACTGAAGAACTTAGTGATACACTTACAGAGTCACAGACTCTGGATCTGATGTTATTGAAATTCCTGTTGTCCCTAGTTTTTCAGAGTTAATCATCACCTATAGACAGCATGAGAGTAGGCCTGGCCATCTCGAAACTCATCAAAATTGTTATGGTTTAAAAAGACGAGAGAAAAAGAACGGAATAAGAGGTCAGAAGAAATAATTTCCACTGCTAGGTAACAATATCAGAACATACTAAGAAGTCTTAGTGGTCTGTGTGTGGGTATTTATAGACATGCAGCCCTGGAGCGAATCAGAATGCAGGATCGATATCACGTGACCATGGGCAAGCCAATACGTGCACTACATATTTGGTATCACGTGATCTACAAACACATGGAGTGATGGAGCGGTTGTCTGGAACAGTGATAATCACCGTTTAGAGCTGAGTCACTGTCTAGAGTCCAGTTACCAGTATGCAGTCACGTTACCTTGATATCCCGTAGAGAATCAGAGAGGAGCGACGAATAAACAAACACAATGCTGGTAGAAGAGGGAATAAGTGGCAAAGTTCAGGATCAAGCTATCAAGAAGAGAAGTATAAAATAATCATGATCATTGATTTGTTCCAGGGGTGTAGAAGGCGGGGGGGGGCGTCGCCCCCATAATATCCGGACAAGGGGCCAAAAGGGACCAACTTTTATATTGGTGTCTAAACATTTTGGGAAAATTGGTCCAGTATAATTAAATATTTACATATTTGATCCTGTGACTGAGTCACTGACTCGGACATGTTTCATGCTACCCTGATCATTAAGAGCCGAAAATTCGATTCCGAGTTCGGTTTGAAAAAGGGGAGGCCTGCTTTCCGAGATTGAATCGCAAAGGGGATGCCTCGATAGGTTATGAATATCAAATATAGGCTTCTTATGAATATAAGCTCCTTCCAATTTCCAATGCTACACTGATCATGATGAGCCGAAAATCCGATTCCAAGTTCGGTTTGAAAAAGGGAAGGCCTGCTTTCCGAGATTGAATCGCAAAGGGGATGCCTCGGGCTCGATAGTTTATGAATATAGGCTTCTTAATCTTATGAATATAAACTCCTTCCAATTGTCCAAATTATGTGCGAAAAATTTTCATAATGTTTGTCCGCTAATTTCCGCCCATGTCCGTCTGAGCCCGCTAATTTCCGTCAATGTCCGCTTATTCACATTAGCCGGCCATGTGTATACGATTACGCGTATGGCGTACTGCGTGACGCGCTTGTTTCGGGCGCTACTGCAAGCGAGAGGGCTCTGGTTAGAGCAAGTCCGCTTATGTCCCAGAAAACACGTCCGTTGTCTCATAGAATCCAAAAAGGACAGGACAGAGGCGGACATGTCACCCCCCCCCCCCCCCCCCCCCCCCCCAATATTGTACATATCTATTAATTGTAAGTGCAAGGAATTTTGAACCAAATTCTTAATTTGTAATTGCTTACCTTCTTCTTCGGCCTCCACTTCACAAACGCCGCACGTCATCGGACAATTAGCGGTCATAAAGTCATAGTATTCATTACCTGTGGATCATTCGGGTTTTCAGATCGTAGCAAAAATTTTGATATAAATTGCGAAAAAAGAAAATCATTGCCAACCCCATTTCCCTTTTATTCCATAAATGATGAAAATGATGCCCCTTTTTGCCTATTTCTTTTGTACCTTGATAACAATATCCATAAGACATCCAACTTGCGCAATTTTCAGCATGTTCGGAGTTGTCTGCACAACCTGCTGTAATAAAAGGGTAGTTTAAATGAAAATATTAATAAGATTGACCTGTCGGAAGCGGGATCAGCTTTGCCTTCAGAGGTAAGTGTCGAGATAGAGAATCACTCGGATCGAAAATTTTGTAAGTCCAAGTTTTTCTTTTGTTCATGTTTTATGCTACACTGATCATGATGAATCCGATTCCGAGTTCGGTTTGAAAAAGGGGAGGCCTGCTTTCCGAGATTAATTCGCAAAGGTTTTTTGCCCATAACTCTCTGTGGAAGCATTTTAGTTGATGAGTCTCATGATTGAACTACTGAGAGTTGGATATTATCCGGTTGGAAGAGACAAGGACAAATGTCCTTGTCTCTTCCAACCGGATAATATCCAACTATCAAGATGCAATTCAAGGTCGAACGGAAAAATTAGGTCCCACGCAGGAATTAGGTCTAAGCAAGGCGCGGCTTTTATGTTATTTATGATATATATATATCACGCGCCTGCGTGATGACCTAATTTTCCTGCGTGAGACTAATTTCTCGTTCGCACCAGCAACTAGAAGGAAAACCCGTTTAACCTAAAGTGGTTTGTTCAAGACTCGAGAGACAAAATAATTATTACCTTTTATTCCGCGTTTTTGACACCACTTGAGAGGTCCATAATTTTGGCTCTAAATCTTATTCCGTTGGCCAATTTTTTTACTATTTCATGCTGATTTAAAGGCCATCAAACCATTGACCTAGTCAAAAAAGTTTCAGGTCGTATATCTTTTCGGTTTTTGCGGAAAGTCGCGTTAAAGTTGATGCCATCGGCGAGATGCACTGCTGGGCCACGCCGAGCTGCAAAGAATTGACATCGTCACTTAAACAATGGACAAAAGAATCACCTGTTAAATATTTTACGAGTATGAGTATCTTAATCTATATCATTTCACTGGTTTATCATAATATCATAACAAGCATACCTTTTCAGTCGTTCAATTTGTTCTCGACTATCATCTCATAAAATAGTAATAATGATCTGGTATCATTCATATAATGAGTGACAAAAAGAAATACAAAATAATACAAGTTTTACTTATAATCATGTTTTACTATAATATGGCTTATAAAAAAGGTGCTGTCACAAATTTTGTTCATTTTACAACAATTTTGCTACTCCTCAGTCCCCAAAAACCTGGAATTTCGCAAATGCCATTAGCCGCTTGTACCCCTCCATACACTGGCGACTGTAACACTGCTACTTCCGCATCCATAACAAGGTCCCAGCGTAGGCGCAGACTCTCAGATTCCACAATTCTGGGTTCCGGTTCCATTCCAGCGAAAAACTAATCCTGTCCGCTATTCGACCACCCTTTTATCCCTTTAATCCTGAATAAGTCCAGGAAATCCGGGAGTTACCTTCTTACCCATCTCTCCTTTTGCTCACACATCACCCCCGAGTCTCCAGTTGGTCCATTCTCCCCGTCAGCACGTCCTCACCAGGTTGACCTTCTGATCCTTCTAACGAAACAGATCCAAGCCAACCGTTGAGCAGAAAAGTCGTTCGGTTCCTTGAGCACCTTTTCTTCCAAGTCGCTCCTTGGTTTCCTTGTTCTCCTTCCGCTCCATGTTCTCCTTGGGGTCGACTGAATATTAGCATTTTTTGCATTTTACGATCCCGGGTTTTTTCGGTTCTATCCGAGATAAACTTTTGCAATGTATCTCTGCAACCGGGTAGGGGCTCAAACATCTGGGCCTCAGTATGGTCTATGTAATAAGCGCCATGAGTTGGCACAGAATTTTTTGTCTCTGATTTTGATAAATTTGGTACCAAAAGTTGCCTTTAACTGTGAATAATGAAAATTCACCGTGTAGCACGATAACGTCGAGATGTATGTGGGCCTCCTGTGCATTGCAAAAGTGTACAAAGTACGAAAAATGGTTAATTTATCGCTTAAAATGCCTATATAATAATAACTCCTATAATATTGAATATTTTGAAATAATTCTTACAGGATCGTAATGAGCTTAATCAGACGCAACTTTTGGTACAAAAATTATAATATTTAAAGCACCAAATTTTCGAAAATTGTTCAAAATTTACACCCATGGTGTTCAGATTAAAAACTTTTGAAAAAAAATTCCTTTAAATCTTAAAATATTAGTACTAAAAGTTTCGTCTCGATGAGCTGATTACGATACCATAATAACTATGTGATAATAATTGAAAATGTGGAAGTTATAGGCCAAAAACAAAAAAATTGCGCGAAAAAAGCACGCGCGGCGAACAAGCGCCGTGTAGAATTTTTAGCGAAAATTGCTACACGGTGGATTTATTTTATTCACATTTTTTGACAACTTTTGGTACCAAATTTTATCGAAATCGGAGAAAAAAAAGTTCTGTGCTCGCGCTTGGCGCTTATTACACTGACTAGTAAAAAAAAATTATGTCATTGATTTATTTCCAGAGCTGCTGAAACCTAGGTTGTCATCGCTTGAGGATGGTATGAGAATACCTGACAATTACAAACATTACTTTGAGTGAAATGAGCTGCTCAACAAAACATTTTGGGTGACTAGAGCCCCGGCTTAAAACGGCTAAATACATGGTACAATGTCCAGGAACAAGTCCGTTAGTTTCAGCAGTATCCCAAAGTGTTAGGTCCGTGACCGGACTGTGTCCCAACAATTACATCGGCAGATTACCGAATAGCAATACAAAATGCGTAGATATGGGCTATTTTAATATGACCTTATATTAAGCGTGAGGCCCCAAAAGGCCCCACATATATCGAAAATCCGAAAAGGGCCCTAGAAATCGGGGCCTTTTGACCCTGACCACTATTTGATAGTGTTTATGGACCATAATCTCCATGTAAATACACTCAAATAAACATAAAAGTACTGTGCAAGTAGTCAGATAATATCATTAAAGCACTTAGCTATATATCAAACTTGATGAAATTGAAGTTAATTCTAGGGCCCCAAAAGGCCCTACACATATCGAAAATCCAAAAAGGCCCTAGAAATCGGGGCTTTTTGGGGCCTTTTGGCCCTGACCACTATTTGATAGTGTTTATGGACCATAATCTCCATGTAAATACACTCAAATAAACATAAAAGTACTGTGCAAGTAGTCAGATAATATCATTAAAGCACTTAGCATATATCAAACTTGATGAAATTGAAGTTAATTCTAGGGCCCCAAAAGGCCCTACACATATCGAAAATCCAAAAAGGGCCCTAGAAATCGGGGCCTTTTGGGGCGTTGCCCCCCCCCCCCTATGCTGGTACAGCTTACAATGTTATTGTTGGGAGAGTGAGACTACTATAGGAAAATAGGAGCTAATAGGGTTTCTTACTCGGGTTAATCACTTACTCGGGTTAATCACCTAATTAGGTTAATCACTTAATGCATCAACTTGACATAGGTATGATAATGTGAAATGAAGCAGAATTTTCATAGATGATTGATTAAATGTTGAAAACCAACTTCATCATAATAATATAGGGAATTTATATTTTCTGCCCAATATTTCTTAACTTGTTGACTAAAATTTAACTGAATCTCTTCTTTTACATAATAATGATTATAAAAAAATTACAAGTATAACAAAACTGGATGTTGTTTCAGATAAATAAAGTATATCAATTCAATTTGGCCAGACACAGTTAAGATATTAAAAAATATATCATCAAAATAAGTGCTTCAACAAGCAACCTACTACATTTTATAATGGGTATCCTGAAAGAAAAACTTTTGTTGAAGAGAATATAAGAAATTATTATTATTTAAGCCTCACAGTCCATTGAGATTTCAGTAGTAAAATATCAAAACCACTGATAATACAGAACAATTTCGTTCAAGTTTTTTATTGAAATGCCTCGTTCAAGTTTTCACTGAGCAACATAATCCAGATGTGATGATGGGTCCGGGACTACTACGACGTAAGCCTAACCCTAACCCTAACCGCAGTAGAGTCTTACGCCGAGAGGTCCGGACCCCGTGATGATCCGTTATCAACTTCTCGGTCTCCATAAACCGTATGATTGGATCCTTTTATTGCATATTTCTGTGATACATCCGCCGTGTATCTTGATTCACGATGTGGTTTTTTATCATGTTTGTATGATCATCATGGTATAAGAGCTTGTTTCTACTTATCTAATGTTTTATTTGATATCTGAGTTAGGGAAACGAACTTTCTCGTCTCATTTCATGCTCTTTATTGATTGACGATCTATCATCCAGAATCATGTCATGCAATCACTGTGGTAAGTGCTGATGAAGAAATATGGAAACGGGGGAGGCGTTATGTGAGTTGTGAGGCCCGGGGTGGGGGTGGGAGGGGTAAGATCTATGGGTTAATCCCGATTTACCGCGGCCATATTTTCCAAATTTGAGCCACCTGATGACTCAACGTACTCAGTGACAAATGTTATGAGATGATGTTACTGAGAATGGTGAGTTTTGTATGAACCAGCTGGAAAGGTGTAGCTCAGCAGTACTTTTGTAATAACCTGAGTCTCACAATACAACACCTGTAATTTCCATTTAACTTGTGTGTGTCATGTGTCTTACCTAAACAAGCACCTGCCACGTCAGGTGGCTCCCACGTGTTCCCTGTCTGACAAAGGAACTTTCTGTCCCCAAGATCAGGACACGAAACTGTTATCTCTTCTCCCACTCTCGCTCCGTTAGTAACAGAGGTCCTCACTTCGGTGGCTTTGTGCACATCCGGAACAAAACACCCTTCATAAACTGTTGAAAAGGAGTTAGATGGTTTGGTAGAAGGAATTTCGATAGAAATGAGAAAAGAGGAAAAAAACAGTTACAGCTACAGATCCGCCATATGTTCAAACTTTAAGATGAATAGGAAACGATTAATACACTTACTATTGATAGGCGTATTGAATGTAGATTTCAGGGGGTCGTTCTTGAAAGAATTGGTGTAGAAGTATCCCAAACCATTTGAGCACCCTTTGATGGTGTTATAGTGAGTACTGGTGAAGCACCAGTGG